GTTGCAAGATTGGCATACAAAAATAAATTTTGGTCTTACCATATACCATGACAGTTCAGTAACGAATGGCATTGACAAAATCGTTTTAAGACATGTTCAGGTAGTTTGCTGAATTCCATCAGTCTGTGTAGTTGGCAGGTTTGTGTGTCCTTCGAAGCTTGAAAGAGACATAAAATAGTACAAATGCCAATCCAAACTTTGCTACTCACCACTACAGCTACACAGGCTAAATTGCATTTATTGGAAGGTTCATCATCTTTCTGCCATGAACACCGACTGACACCATTGCACAAACCATTCACACATATCTGATATAAGCTCATGATTCACTCTGCCACGCAGCTTTAGTTCATGGTCTGCACCTTCCACCCAGTGCATTTTCCAGTCATTTGCCATTCTGTTCAGAGCTGTATCCATTAAATCGGGCCTGCAGTATGGATCTTTTCTGCCACTTATAAACAATGCAGGCAATCCAAGATGGAGAAGTGAAGATACTCGAATCTCCGAGGTCTTACGTGGAGGATGTAAAGGGTATGACAAACAAGCAACGCCAAATACAAAGTTTGTGGTCAAACTACTGTTTGAAGCTACCTCAGCAGCAACACGTGCACCCATTGAACGGCCTATAAATAAACGCAACTTCAAAATCATCATTTTGCAAGGGGCATGGCAGGGTTTATTCCTGCATGATGTGGTGACAGGAGAACATTGTAAAACTGTCAGTGAGGAGAAAATAAATTATCAACATCTGAAGAAAAAATCGCTCAGATCATCAAAATAAGCTGGTGAATATTAAGTAGTTGCCCATGTCAACAACCTGCATTGGATTTCATGTCAGTTTGATGTTTCCTTTTTTACTATGATCCAATCCATGATCTAATACACTGCATGATCCCAGCTGTGATCACATCCATGATGTGATCTGTGATTAGATCTGTGTTTTGTCGACACTGGTGTCATAGCTAAAGAATTCACAAGCCTCCCATCTCTAATTCCTAATAAACAACCTGCATAGACCATCTGGTTTCCTTACCAAAGAGCTATTATGTATGAGAACCTTATGTACCTGCTATGATGCACATGTTGATTGGAAACTCTTCAAAATTCCTCAGGAACTCCTACAAATACAACATTCAATTATAATTTAACTCTTAAATATGACTGTGAAAATATGAAAATCATATATCTGCACTGCGGTAAAAGAAACGAATAGAAGTAATCCTCACATTTATGAATACTGCTGAACTAGTAGTTGAAATAAGACAAGGATCACTCATATTCGTTTCTTCAATCGCAGTGCACACATATGATTTTCATATATTCAAAGTCATCATTCACCACTTGGATGGTTTATTTGGATCCAACATAATGACCAGCTCCCAGTTGGCTTGTTAGATCAGTTGGTAGAGTGCTACACCAGTATCGCAGAGGTCATGGGTTCAAATCCC